AGTAGTTGACATCTTTCCGAAAACCTTTCGAGACATACTACAATGTTGAGGGATAGTAGTGTCCGTTTGCGAGCCGAAACTCCCTGCATCTATGTACAAAAGTCAACTTGGCAAATGTCAAATGTCAACTTCAATGCACTCTAGTTACTTCCATGGGAACTGATTATTTCATGTTGAGAGTGGTTTACGTGCTTGTGCAGATTTCATCGTTTACACACGACCGATATCTATTTGCAACCGTCATTGTTATGGTGGTCAGAGGTGGGAATAGACATCCAAATGTTTGATCAGTTCGATATCCTTAATGAATCATGCGCTGTTGCTCTAACCGTTTAACCTCCTTTCTTGATTTCAGCATAAGACAAAAAATGGAAGAAATCAACGTTATATCGGACAAAGAGCATGAACAGCGAACTATTGACAACATGTACAGCAATCCCTTGGCATACCAAAAGGCAGAATTGGACACATTCGTGAGCAGTCAGTCAAATGAAATCCTTTACAATGGATGAAAGATTTGATTTATTCGACGTACAATGCACGCACACCTCTCTAGCGGAATGTGGATAGTGTACGAAAGATGGAATATCACCGGTTGGCAAATAATACAATTACCCACTTGGTCACAGATGTTGTGTAGCATAGGGAGACAGACGATAGAATGTGCTGTTGAATGAATCGGCCAATCGATTATGTATAGTTTCATTCAAAACTTTTGCAGCTAGCCACAATTCCAGGAGATCGTAGGCTAACGGTTCGACATTTGGGAGAAATTTGTTCGCGAAGAAGTGTGGTTGACTGAGCAGGAACGGCAGGTCAGCCAATCCGTACATACATATCCAACGTTGCCAACGTCCGCTACCGCAGGGCTTGCGAGACTGGATCCAAACTTTCGCCCTGGCCAACGCAATGGCCACATCTTCTTCGTGAATCCCGGTGAAAGCACCGGGGATGGGAAACACAGCAGGATTGTGATTCAGGGTGGGAAAGAATGTCTCGTCAGATACGATTCCCTTTCGTTTGGATTTTTCGTATTGTGTCAATGCTTGATAAAGCTGTTGACCTTTTGGATTGTTCAATGCATAATCGATGAATTCCCGTCGTACCGCAACGTGTAGACTTCCCTTGTAACAAGTAACCTGGAAATTTGCGGAATGATCGATCAATGGGAAACAATTATTTGACGAAAACTGCAGTGGTTTTCATCGGTTTAAATTCGAGAAAAATCACATTGTGTTAACATTGCTACCAAAAAAATGATAAGATCTCTAATGGATGAATTAGACTGCAACTAAAATACACATTGATCACACGTCACTGCTCATTCGTGATAACAGTGAAACCACCAAAGAGCCGGTTCATAGACGGTTTGCTGAGCCAGATTGATAAGGGCACCTGTGGTGACCAGCATCGAACCGCGAACCTGGTCGGGTGGTTGAGTACTTATTTCTTAGCAGGATGAGAGGAGAGTGAATGCTTCAGGATAATAAAGCCCTGAGCCACTTCTCGTAAATGTAAAATGTAAATGTCCATTTACTTTATTTACTTATTAATTATTATTGAGTATCGGAAAGGTACACTGAACTTTTGGGAAGACGGGCTAACAGCCATACAAAGACTGTCTGGGGAAATACAGAAACGAGAAAGACGGGCGGCGGTGGAGTGGTTCGAACCTGGGACTTCCGAGCCGCAATGTGGTTACCTAACCATCTAGCCGCCACCAACCCTGCTTCATATAAGAACAATCATTGTGATGTACTGACATGGTAATGAATGCGACCGGTATTTGTTATGGAATCTGCGGGAAGCTACTCGGACTGGTACGAAACCAAGAAGGAATTTGTGCGTTCTTGGTGGACTGCAAGACATTGTGGTATCAAAGCATACACAAAGAACTACCCGCCCGTTTGAACAGTATGCCTCATGACAGTTCAGTTACGAGGCTATCCTCTAAACCTTGACGGAACCAATGTCTCCTTTCAATTCACTACAATGCTGAAGCATACACTCATTGTTGAATACGCGAGGAATTGGGTATTGAACATGAATTTCGCGTGATTTCAATCTGTACTACTGTCAAATAAGCACCAAATTCTTTCTGAGAATCGCTTCCTGGTTTACCATACCGATCGATTTACTGATTCCACGTAATACTGTTCTTGTCTTGACATGATTTGATGGATGTAAGAATGAATGTGTACGCTTTTTTTGGACAGTGTGCCTCTTGACAGTTGAACTACGTGGCTATTTTGTGAACTATCGACGCGTATCGACTAAATTCTTTTTGACATAGGCGAGGAATTAGGTTTTGGACATGAATTTTGCGTGATTTCAATCCGAACTGTCATTCGTCTGTTTTTAAATCTTTCCGAAATATTTAGTGGTCGTTGCAACTGAATTAAAAACACCTGAAAATCGCTCACTCAGTCTCTCACTCACTCACTAAATCAATCAATCAATCAATCAATCAATCAATCAATCAATCAGTCAATCAATAAATCAAACCACCAAAAGATGGAAAATTTTAATGTATGGCCAGCGAACCAGTTTCGGACAGAAAACGTTTTTAGTCACCGCTTGGTATGGTCGAAATTATCCTCATCAGATGGCTAACGTGCTTGATGAAGTGTTTGATGCTAACTGCTCTTGTGCTCAACAATCAGAACCCAGTCTAGAAATACTAATGGGGGAAAAATATTTTGTTTAAAAAAGTTGGAATTAATCTATCATCTGATTTGCATATTTCAAGCTCAATTATCACACCATCAGCCTATGTGCACAATTGCAGGTGAAATATTATTGTGCTCACGTTTTCAGGAAGTGTTTCTTTAGGGGGGAATCTATCTACGTTTCGCCAACGATAGACTGCTTGTACAATATTCGATCCGTTCAACAAACGAAGAGCCCGAACCAATTCCCAATTCGTACGCAACGGAAATTCCTGACCGGTCAGATTGATCCAGTACTTCCAAGTACCGGGTGCACGCTCCAACAGAATGCGCGCGCATGTCAAATCCGCGTCCAGTACACTTAACCAACCCCAATGGACTTCCACTCGATTGTCCGGCTCAACAAAGAACACATTGTGCGACACTCCGGGACATTGTTTTAGCCGTTCAGTAACGTTCACGAATTCCGGTTTGCTTTTCCGATCGATGTGAATACAATAGTAATTGTGTGGACGGTAGATAGCACGAAACAGCCGGAGCACCCGGTCAGCATCGGTATAAACGATCAAACTGAATGCGAGCGGGAATTCTCTTTCCTCCGGTCGAACAATGTATTTGTATGATACGGTAGAGTTCAGGGTTAACAAGGGACATTCATCAAAGTGTGTGTGGCTAGTTAATCCAACATCTTCCCACAACCCATATATCGTTCCTTTGATGGAATAGAGTACAACCAACAGAATTGCGCAGGAACAGAGAACAATAAATCTACCATGTAGTTTTGGTGATTTGAAAGCTGTCACGTATACCAGGTTATGCAATGTCATAATTGTGTTTGAGCAACAGATCTGGTGAATTGTGGCTTCGGCCCAATGCGTGAAGATTTTTATATCAATATCAACCAGTGTGGTACCAACGTCAACTGACCAGTTGGGCTGGTAATTGACCGGCTATTCAAAAGATTTTTTCTATTGCGTTAACTGTGTGTGCCTGATGAAAGATGTCAATTAACACACACATAACTTGGTACTTTTATCATTATCCGTTAGCGATAAGCTTCAAGTGAATATTGCGTAACAGTTTGTGTATGATGAAACATACCGCGAAATACAAGGGATCATTTGTTCACGAGATTGGGCAATCTAGTATACTGATTTCATCAAGTGTTTTGGTGAGAGGACTCTTGTGTGCGTTAAAAGATCAGTCTGGCAAAACCATGAAATAAATACCCATTGGAAAGTGTAAATGAAGGAATGTTAAAAGAACAGCAACATTTGAGCAAATGAGATCAATTGAAATGACTATCTCAAGCCTCGCTTACCTACCACAGATGGATTAGTATGGTGTGCCTCAAACAGATTCAGATATATCTAACTTTATTGAGCAGGACGTGTCTAGGCAGCTGATAGCGACTTTTGATTCCGCTAGATCATATCTTGTCAATCAAAAATTGAAGAATTTCTACAACGTCGTGGCTGGGATTGGAAACTCAAACGTAAATGCAATACACACTATATCCCACTCGACGTCAGTTCCCTTCGCAAAAATCTTCTCATTGCTCAAATTTTTCTGTGCATGTGTTACCATTTTATTGTGAAATTGGAATATTCACTACTTATGTCAGACAATTGCTCTATTTTTGCACGCAATCACACAGCATATACATTTCAAATTCAATGACGTAAATCATCTTCGAATAGATCGGGTGGCCAGTAGGTCTCCCATCAACTCGCCTTACTCAGATGTTTCTCCCGTAACGGACCACAAATCGTTTCACATTCGACAAATATTATACTGTCCATATTCTGTGCTCCGGGGATAACAGTGCGGATGTTTATGGACTCCGGATACTTTTCGGTCGGTGGAGCCAAATTCTGTGCCTGCTTCCGAGAAACAAATAAATGAAGAACTAGCCTTCCTGGACGTCCGGTTTGAATGAGGATCAAACTGTACTCGCGAAAGCACCAAACTCAATACTCCTCGTGATATAATCTGTATGTCGGCTTTAAATGTATTAAAGCCATGATTAAAGAAGATAATAGTGACCCATCACTCATTCACCAGGTCACGGAAAATATGAACAGATGATATCATTGGAGGTGAACGGAGGTACTGTCGAGAAGTGCACGTTCATCTTTGCTGGCAATCATTATTCGCGTAGAATATTTTGAGACAAACGAGGTCAGACACGTTGAGCACGAAGCAGTATGCATACTGATACATTCAGTCGTTCCGATGTGAACACACGTAACCGCACTGCAGTTGTGAATTAAAATTAGCAGCTAGGCTCTGTATTTCACTTGTGGCCAGGTCGCACTTGTGTTTCCAACTCAAAAACAATTTTCCTGATTCGGATGTCCATTTCTGTGTGTACTCACTAAGCTGCCGTTGTTGGACAAGCCATATTTGTCGCATGTCGTGGTACGTTTACCGGAACGAGTTAGCGATTACAACCCGGTTCGGCTGAACCGTGCAGGGTACCAGTATGATCGAGAGGTTGATCGTTTCAATTCACATAGGTACTGTGGTTGAGGACTTTTGTCACCTTGAGTATTTACATATATATATATATATATATGTCCATTATTCAATGAATTTATACAAGGCCTATGCTGTTGTTGGGCGATTGTTTATAAGTGTCCAGTCGACAACAGGCTAAGGGGAAAAAAACAAGATCAAATGTGTGTAAAGTGGACATGTGATTAAAGGTTTAGTCATGAATGAATGAGACAGATGTGAATGTTTGGGGAGGGGAGGAACAGTAAATTACGAAAAACGGCAGAATGGACAATGTGTCACATATAAATATAGGGCACAACCCTTGTGGTCACGAGAACAGAAACGTTTGAACCAGATTACTTTACTTGAACAATTCCAGGTTTTAATCCTAATCGATATGGATTCCGCAGTTTTCATAATCTTCTTACATATTATTTTGGGATGGGTTTTGGTGCTGTTGAGAAATTATTCATTTTCCTGTGTCAGTCTTGTGTCCACAGTCGACCAGATGTTGTTGTTGTAGGCTCATAGTTGTTCAAGGTTCTCGCTGGTCCTTTTCAACCAGTGGCTGGACAATGTTCAGAAATTGATTTAGACGAACGCCTCGTTGTTTGAACGTATCACATGCAGCGCGAGGCATGTTGCAAAAGTTCGGTTTATGCACAAAACGTCTGACGCAACCAGTGACGACCTGTTCCCTGTTAGTTATTTAGTTGCAGAAAATGGGGTCGGCGGGATGCGGATGGCTGGGGATGCGAAGTGGATAAACCAATGTGCAGCTAATGAAGGTACTCATCTGGATTGTTACTGTGGCATTGAATCGGTAAGCTGATATGTTCATTCGTTAGTTTTGAGAATGATTAACGGGCTGAAATCACTGATACACGAGTGCGTATCATCAAACCTAGAAGTTCTGATTAGAGAAAGGTGGCAAAACACTTCAAGGGAAGTAATAAGGCAGAATTGGGAAAACGCGCGGATTGACAAAATAAACGGGCACAATGGGTTGAGGGATTCGGAATTGCTCGAGTTTGCGTAGCTCAAATGAGAGGTGTCTCAATTAACTCATAGAATCATAATTGTGTGTTAACCATCAGAGATTATTTTCGATGACGACACGCTCGCAGTTGACACAGCGATTTGAGGAGTAGGATGCGAAAAATTTCCTTCGAAGAATGACAGCTGCATCCAGGCACGTAGAAATGTCGTTGAACTGTTTGCAATTGATGTTTTAGTTGATCGCTTTGATTCTAGTAATCATAAAGCAGGTAAGGAGAACGATTGCCTGGATCACAGAGGAAGATAAATACATTCATCATTATCATCATCGTACAGAGAGACAGTAAAGTGAATTTCACTGATCGCTGTCAAGCTCAAAATATTCACAAATTAAGTGATAGAACACAGGATGGAGAGGAAATGTGTCTAATTAGAGGGAGTGAAGGAAGGTAACCTCTATGGTCAGCACAAAGAGCACACAATCGAGCTCTGCGCACAAACCGTTTCATGCATTCTGACGTGATAAGAAATGATAACAAGAACGCCACTGCTGTCGGTTCGCTGCTATATCCTTCAGTGCTCCAACCAACCAGTTGCTGAGTCCTTTGGACCCCAACCTGGAAGACGAGAGACATCGATTCTACCTAATCACTCTGTGCAGTTCCCATATCTCGTTTCTACGTCATCTCTTCACCTCTAACGTGGTTTTTTCCAACCGGAAGCCGCAACTGCGAATCGGGTACAGTGCGGCAGACGGTGGATGGGCATGCGTAATACGTGTCCTAATCAGCGAAGCCGACTAGTCTGAATTCGATGGGACAACGAATTCTCCATAGAATCGTTATCAAATAAGCGACGCCATTCCTCAGAGTTGCTTACAAGCTCGCTCCATTCAACCCACGTCAAACTACGTAAACATCAACAGTCGAACACTTCCGGGTGACAAATATCTTTCACGCGCAAATTGATGGTCAAGCAACCACAGATCAGAAACGATCATACACTGGCGGCAAATCCGAATTTACTTTTTAAGTATGCACAGAATGGCGCTGATTGTTTGACTATCATCTGTCACCCCAAATTCCCAGGCTTCACTTTTATCGCCATCACAAATTTGTGCATTGCACCCCAGTGTAGATTGTCAGACATTGACAGATTTTACGATAATTTCCTACCGGTTATTGCCCCATCTCTTGCTGACACTTTGCACCTAATGGCTGGTGACTTTAACCACGCCCGACCTAAGATTTACTCACACTCAGGACATATTTCCTTTACTCGATAAAAACACATCATGTTTCGTCAGCGAGATCTTTCCCCAGACAATATTGCTTTGCTTACATAGTCTCTTAACGTATTTGCCGACTGTGATACAAGGGATATGAAAAAGGGATAGCCCAGATGCAAACATGGGAATTAACTACAAAATTCACTGAATAGCACAGAAGGAACATAACGCTTGATCACTACGTATTCGGGCAAGAAGGAGTCTACATCTACACTTTGGTCAACTTATGAAGAGATGCGTGCTATGAAATGAAATTCTATCAGCAAAATTCAAGCACGTATCAATGGGACCATATCAGATAGTGTTTATCAAAACAGAACTCGTAAAATACAACTGATCATGGTGAAGCTGCCCGCCGGAAACCTGGAGGCAATCAGAGAAAATAATAGAGAAGCAGTAAGGGTTGAATATTGACGCGGGGGGGGGGGAACCATTGAACCGAAGATTCTATCTCCGACAAACCAGAACAGACACAAAGCTTTCTGTCAATCTGTACAATGTCTGAGGGAGATAAGCAACAGTTCAAAGCTAAACCAGATTTCATACATTTCGCACAATTGAAATTACGATCGGATAGATTGGAATCCGTAAAGTGGCGGGATAAGTTTATGTTATATGCCGCCAGTTCTAATTGGTTGGATAAGGAAAGAGAAACAAAGATTTCATGAGCACAGGGAAAATGCGGAACAACGTGGGTAACAAGTGTGCCACGGATGACAGTCGTAAAATGATGGGGTGATGGAGAAACAGCTCAAAGTACACCGGACCTATTGACTGATGCTGTTGACTGTTTTCTTCCTAATTTAATGTACTGATATCTTTGTCACAATTAGTCTTCAAAGCATCCATAAAGGGAAGAGTAAAATAGAAGCGGACACTTAGTCAAAAGCTTAGGAATAATCAAGCATTACACAGTGCCGAAATTTGGCTTTCCTGTTTTGAGGACTTACAAAGAAGCGGTCAATAGTTTGAGGGTCTGCGTATGTTTGTGCATTTCACAAGAGATCATGGGTTCGAACGAAGATGGCTTGTTCGGAAAAATCGCAACCACATATTTGGACCGTTTTCCAGAGGAGGAGTGAATAAATGCTGAAAACAATTAGTCAGTATCTATCGAAGAATTAAAAATCATGTTATTCTGCCTGAGAAGTGGTTTGATAGATTCAAAGTAGCTTGGGTTAAGGGAACGTGGCACGAGTCCAAAGCTCTTAATCTTCAGTGAAGTGATGTTTTTCAAATTACGTAATATAATTTCGTGTTCGAAACAGTTTCTGACGCCATCAGTCAGATTGCGGTGGCTGTACTTCTTATCTACCTTCCCCTGACGGTTGTCCGATTAACTATGAAGTTGTCAAAACTTTCTTGTGTAAATTCCAGATTGTTTTACGCTCTAGCGACTTAGGAGATTTTAAAAAATGTTGGCATCGCTCAATATCTGTCTTCCCTGTTTTCTTTAGAATCGGATAAAGAGACCCAATGTTTCAAATCCTTACAATGGCGGTTTGCCGAATCCGGCGGTGGTGACAGAGTGGTTGGTTCACCAAATTGTAATCTGGGTGTCTCGGGTTTGAGCCGCTCCATGACCGCCCGTCTTCCTTATTTCTGTATTTTCCAGGCAGCGGTGTGTGGCTGCGGTCCCCTTTTTCTGAATGTTGTTTTTTTCAATAAATAAAAAAGGAAGCAAAAAGACAGATATCAGACTTGTTTAATCCACGATGCGAAAAATGAATCTTTTGCTAACGTTGGGTTGCAAAACTGCATTGGAATGGCCAATCATTGAATTTTATCGAGAGTACATTTG